TATTTGCAAACCACATGTTCAACAAAGGGTTAGTACCTGTAATATACAATGACTTATCAAAACTCAACAGTAAAAAAAAAAAAAATCTCAATTAGAAAATGAGAAGGCCAGGCACAGTGGCTCACACTTGTAATCCCACCAGCACTTTGGGAGGCCGAGGCAGGTGGATCACTGGAGATCCAGAGTTCAAGACCAGCCTGGCTAACATGGTGAAACCCCGTCTCTACTAAAAATCCAAAATTGGCCAGATGTAATGGCAGGTGCCTGTAATACCAGCTACTCAGGAGGCTGAGTGAGGAGAATCACTTGAACTTGGGAGGCGAAGGTTGCAGTAAACAGAGATTGCACCACTGCGCTCCAGCCCCGGCAACAGGGCGAGACTCTGTCTCAAAAAAAAAAAAAGAAAAAAAGAAAAGAAAAGTAAAAGAAAATGAGTTTGTAATATGCAGAAGCAAACAGTATGCAGCAAAAGGCAGGGGTGGGTTTTTGAGGAATGTTGAAAGATTAATTATTAAAATATTATAAGAGCAGCGCAGTGGCTCACACTGTCACTCGTGGCAGGTGACCAGGTTATGAGCGGTGAATCCTTACAGGTCTGCAGCAACCTCAATTCTTGCCTCTTCAGAAGAAGGAATTTGACTGAGGGGCATAAGGCAGAAAAAGAGACCAAGGCAAATTTCAGAGAAGGAGTGGAAGCTTATTTTAAAAGCTTTAGAACAGAAAAGGAAAGTACATTTGGAAGAGACCCAAGCCGGCTACTTGAAGAACAAGCTTGACGTTTAACATTGATCTAGGGACTTTCTAGGCTGGCTCCTTTCCCATGATTCTTCCCTTAAGGTGGCTGCCCCCATGCACCCACCTTACCCTGGGGAGGTGAGCACACCCAGTTGGTTTAGGAAGTTGTACACACACCCATCTGAGGCTTTCTTCCTTTTCCCAGTGGAGTGCCCCAGAAGGTCATAGTACGCCATTTTGGCTTTTTTTTTTTTTTTTTTTTTTGAGACAGAGCCTCGTTTTGTTGCCCAGGCTGGAGTGCAGTGGCGCAATCTCAGCTCACTGCAGCCTCTGCCTCCCAGGTTCAAGCGATTCTTCTGCCTCAGCCTCCCAAGTAGCTGGGACTACAGGCAGCTAATATTTTGTATTTCTAGTAGCGATGGAGTTTCACCATATTGGCCAACCTGGTCTCAAACTCCTGACCTCGTGATCCGCCCACCTTGGCCTCCCAAAGTGCTGGGATTACAGGCGTGAGCCACCCCGCCTGGCCCATTTTGTCTCTTAATGTGCATGCCCGGGAAGTTGCTTCTCCCTGGAATCTGTATCCAATTGACACTTTAGTGCAACAGGTGTCGACCCTCGGTAAATGGCCTCTCCTGACACCACCAGTTGCCAATTTATCACTTTTAGAGAGGCAATGTGATCATTGCTGAACCATCACCTGACATTCCTAGTGGCTAGGAAAGCCCCCTCCTGCCTGCTCATGCCCAACTACCCATAACCACACATGGAAACTCAGCACTGTGGGAGGCCGAGGCAGGTGGATCACTTGAGCAGCAAAGGAGTCTGAGACCAGGAGTTTCAAACTGGTCTTCAACCAGAAGGCCTTCTGATCTCAAACTCAGTGTAGTGAGACCCTGTCTTTATTTAAAATTTAAAAATTAGCCAGGTGCGGTGGTATGCACCTATAGTCCCAGCTACTTGGGAGGCTGAAGTGGGAGGATCACTTTGGCCCAGGTGTTTGAGGCTGCAGAGAGCCATTGTTGCATTGAACTCAGCACAGAAAGTCAACACCAGAACAAAAGTATGCCAAACCGCAGGGTTTACTGCCAGCGACCACGGAGGACTCACATCTCTCCAACCCATGGCCCCGAAAGAAGAGAGACAAGACCTTTTTATACCCGCAAAACCACTTTGGGAGTGAGATGGGAATGAAAGCTGTCAATCCCTCCCAGGCTAAGACGAGAGTGAGGGGCTTCAGAAATTCCGAGGGCCAGTGGATTCAAATCACCTTCTGGGCGGAGAGGAGGGCCAGAGGACTATTTGACATTCTGATTGTTATTTAAGGGTTCACAGATGCTAAGATTAGCATTCATTTACACATCGTCTGGGTAGGGGTGGGATCCATAGATTTTCAGTTGCTTGGCGCCGGGATGGAATGATCTGGGGGTGCTTACTCTGGGAAACAAAGGCCAGCAATTCTGGCAGATAAGAGAAGGTATGCAGCTTTACCTCTCTTTGCATCCTGCAAATGATCTAGCAATTTACAGAAACCAAGGTTAGCAGTCCTTGAGGAGAATGGAAACATTTTTGTCTTTTATAAGATGGCAGTATACAGGTTCCAACTTAAGTTAGCTATATCACACCATGATCATGCCACTGTGTTCCAGCCAGGGTGACAGAGCAAGACCTTGTCTCAAAATATATGTGTGTGTGTGTGTGTGTGTGTGTGTGTGTGTGTACGTATATATGTATACGTACACACACAATTTATATATATATATTTATTTAAAATAGCATTTTCTAGATTCTGTGATGTTCCAGGTATCTTTCTGCTTTTTAAATTTGTGATTTTTTTTTCTAATTTAAATAAATGGTAATTTTATGCTTAATTTTATATCCATAATATTGTCATTATTCTTACAGAGAATAATTGTCTACACCTCAGACCCCATAAAACTTGGAATCACATCTCTAGCTCTAGGAAAAAGAACACCGAGTACAGCTAAATACTGATTATAGGACTGGCTTGCACAACTGGAAAAATGATATTGTCAAGCTTTTTACAGTTCAGGAAGACTCAGCAATAAGTTCAAAGAATATGAGGCAAATGTTTTAAATGGAACACTTTTCATTCTGATTTCAGAAGAAATAAGAGTTGTGCAAGAAAGGAAATGTAATCAGATTATGGGAGTTGACTCAGCAGGAACAATATTGTTACTGGTACAACTGATACACGTTAAAGTAGTATTTAAATACAAATTGTAGACTAAATTGGATGATTTTACCTCATTTACATGATAGTGACTAATGTCTGCAACTAATAAAAAGAGAAGTAGCAGTCTGTGTGTCTTACTTAGAACCGCAGATGTCAGTACTAGAAGAAACAGCTAGAACCACCAAAAGCAGTTTCTCCAGGCAGCAAGAGAAGCCAAAGGGGGCCGTTCAAGTGACCTATTGCCCTGTAAAACCTCTGGTCTTATAGACTTTATATTTCTAGTTTTACATACTTTATAAAATTTCTAGTTTTCTGTAAAAATTCTAGCCCTATGAAACTTTAGAATGTGTACATTATTACTTCCATCATTTATTTTTTGAGACAGGACCTCGCTCTCCACCCAGGCTGCAGTGTAGTGGTGCAATCACAGCTTCCTACAGCCTCAATTTCCTGAGCTCAAACTATCCTCCCATCTCAGCCTCCCAAGCAATTGGGACTGCAGGCATGCACCACCACACCCAGCGTGCGCGTGTGCGCGTGCGCGCGCGTGTGTGTGTGTGTGTGTTGTACAGACAGGGTTTCACCATATTGCCCAGGCTAGTCTTAACTCAGGCGATCCACCACCTCAGCCTCTCAAAATCCTGAGATTACAGGCGTGAACCAATGTGCCCAGACTATTTTCAATATTTTTTTAATTTAATGCCAATCATGAACATTTTGAAGGGGCAATCCTAGAAAATTTTGCAACTGAAAACTGGGAAGTCTTGACCTATCACAAGCTTAAAAGCAAAAAATTCCTTTGAAACATTCTATAGGCAAACAAAGAAACAAAAGTGGCGGCCATTTGCCCACCACAGAGAATGATTCCATAATATATGGCACATCCTTACTTTGGAATTCTCTACAGCTGCTAAGTTCAAGGAGGTAACACCTGTCAGGTAATGGCATAGATTAGATCAGTGTCCATGAGTACTGTCAAGTGGAACAGGCAAGCTATATCACGACACAGAATACTCCAACTAAGCATGTACACAGGAAGGGCTCTGATGGGACACATGAAAGGATGGATTCTGGGGAGACAAGCGAGGACTGAGAGGACACTCGTGTGTGGGTATGTGTTTGCGTGTATGTATGTTTTTGTATGTTTGTGTTTGTGTGTGTTTGTATCTGTGTATGTGTATATGTATGTGTGTATGTGTGTGTGGCATTTAAAACATTTTTTACTAATAGAATGTATTACTTCTATAACCTAAAAAGAAAAACAAAAAAACAGCTTAACAGTCTTTTGTTTTGTTTTGTTTTGTTTTGTTTTTGAGACAGAGTTTCATTCTTGCTGCCCAGGCAAGAGTACAATGGCGCAACCTTAGTTCACTGCAACCTCTGCCTCCCAGGTTCAAGCGATTCTCCTGCCTCAGCCTCCCAAGTAGCTGGGATCACAGGCATACGCCACCATGCCCAGCTAATTTTGTGTTTTTAGTAGAGATGGGGTTTCTCCATGTTGGTCTGGCTGGTCTTGAACTCCCGACCTCAGGTGATCCGCCCGCCTTGGCCTCCCAAAGTGCTGGGATTACAGGCGTGAGCCACCGTGTCCGGCCGGCTTAACAGTCTTTTTAAGGTCAGTTTCAGAATGTTCTTGGAGGGGTTAGTGTACTCACTGTGGGGATTGTTGGTGACACCCTGTGCTGGAGATTTGTCTAGATCTGCTTGAGGTCAAAAAGAGACAGCCATGGTGGTGAGAAAGCGACTTACCCAATCCTCCTCCTTGTGGCCATTTTCCCCGAAGGCTGAGAGTGAAGCTGGGGTGTTCCCTGTGACCCAGTCTGGGGAGAAGCCAACCGCAGAGAAAGATGCTTCCTTTGGGAGCCAAGTGGACCCTCCAGTCGTAGCCCAGCCAGCCCCTTTCCCACCTGTGCCAGCCACAAACCCATCTGCTTCAAACCCCTTTCTTGTTTCCCTCAGGATTTGGGACCAAGGAACAGCTGTCTAGGATTCATACCTTGCCTCTTCCACGCCCTCCCTTGTTTGCATACTACATTTCTCAGTTCCAAATAACCAAGCCACACAGAGATTCAAGTATTTGTTTCTTCTTTTCCTATTCCATTGAAGAGGCTGACAATTCTAACAATTACAATGAATTAGGGAAGGAGGTGGGATCTCCGCCCTCTAGGGTCAAGAACTCTTAAACTATCTCCTTTCTATCTTTGCTCAGCTCTTCCCCATACCCCGTCTCCATTTTTCTTCCTTTCTTCAAAACCCTCAACAGAGAAGCCAGCGCTGGGCAGCTGTGGGCTACGGCTTAGACAGAGGTGCGCTGGAGTCAGGCCACCTCGCTGGTGATATTTCGTTTCTTCTCACACACCCAGCGGTGCACCTGCAGGCAGAAGTCATCGTTCCAGCGGCCATCTGGCCTGATTTCAGCACAGTCTTCACTTTCACCTGGCTCATGCCCGTGCCAATCATCAGGCTGAGTGGCAGCCCAGTTCCTAAGGAGGCAAGAGAAAACTCAGACTCTAACATTCTGCTCCCAGCCCCAGCAACCCTCACCCCGAGCCCAGAAAAGCACAGCCTTGGAGGGTTTGGGAGTCTGGGGAAGAGAGAACTGGGGAATTTGGTCCCTGAGAGATGAGTCAGGGTGACTTAGAATGAAAGGCCAGGGGGCAGTCCCCAGAGAAATCTAACAAGAGGGTATGGGAAGAGTCCACTTACTTGTAGCTGTGACTGTAGTCTGTGCCATCCACCCATTTCCAGGAGCCATCGCTGTCCGTGAGACCTATCCAGGTATCAAAGGGGTTCGTGTGTTGTGCAATGAATTTCTGGAAAAACAGACGACAAGGAAGTTTCTAGTCTCCTGTGCCTTTATCCTCCCTCCATGCAGCCATGGAGCCGTGGCCCCCTCAGCCTTTCCCAGCCTGATCTGCCCCCAGGCTGAAGCATCAGCTTCCAACAAGACTGCTTCCTAGCTTTTCCTTCTGTCACTATAGCTATTGTTCAGTGCACATTTACTGGGCTAGACTTTATGCTGTCTGTGCAAAGATGATCTCATTTAATCCTCAGAAGCCCTCCAAGATGGGCACTGCAGCAACCACACTTTGCAGGGAGTTGCAGAACCCAGAGAGCCAATCCTGTACCTGAGCTAGTGGACACTGTCCTGTTCACAGCCCTGGCCCAGCGTCCCCCTTCATTCCCAGCTTATGGCTCTACCCAAGCTCTGGTCCTCTCCCTGTCTTCTGTCCACAGCCTCAAACTCCTGGCATCCTGATCCTGGTCTCTGTTCCTACTGCCTCCCCGGACCCCAGACCCACTAAAGATCTCAGTTTCACTTGCCTCTCAGGTACATCGTCCCCTGGTCGCTCTCACTTTATGTGTAGCTGTCATTTTCTGAGATTTGTCAGGCCCAGGAGCCTCTAAGCTTGGACCCACTGCCCAGGGCTCCATTATGATCTAGCTATGTGGAATCTGGCAATCGGTGCAAAATAGGAAAATGCCTGGGTGCGAGGACACAGCCCAGCCAGCCAGCCAGCCAGCAGGGGCTTGACTGAAAGTGGCTCCCCAGGACTCACATGCACCCACAGCCCCAGCACAGTAGCCCCTCCAAGTGCCTTTCTCTTACACATACAGCCATTCCTGGGGACTTAGGTCCCATGGTTTGGTAGGGTAGCAGGGGGAGGTCAGGTCACCTGGTTTTGTGGAGGAAGCAGAGGGATGGATCCATTGAGCAATGTGCACACTCAACAATTCCCTTTGACAGCCAGCAAAGGGGCCCCAACAGTATTTGAAGGAAAATTGCCTAATTCTACTCTCAGTGCCTAGAAAAACAACTAAGGTTCCAGTTATTCACCTCATCTGATTATCAGAAACTGTTACATCCTGAAATTCTGGAATCCCACAAATAGGATGTTGGAAACAGATGTTCGGTGCCACAAAGAAAAATTCGCACTGAGACAAAAGACTTTTCAGCAAAGCAATTTTTACTTCCTGCAGGAAGGGTACTCTTGCCAGCAGGAAGAATACCTTCACTAGCCACGAGAGTACAATGAACACAGGGAAAAGCAGACATATTTATCCCTTACACATTTGGGGTTGTTCTTACTGCTGTGCCTGATTTTTATTGGTTGGAGCCAGACCTTACAATTTAAACTAAAGCCTGATTGGCTAATAAAACTTTTTTAAACAGGTAAAAGCAATGGAGAATGAAAAGGTATAAGGAAGGAGCATAGGCTGCAAGCTGGGACATGCCTGTGAGCACGTCCAGCACAGACATCGTGATTAAAGTACAAGGACACAGAATGTACTACGTGCCTGTGAGCACGTCTAACAGCTACACAGGATAGGGCTTAACAAAGAGCTACTAGCAAGAAGGATTTTTTCTTTAACAAGAAAGGAAACTCTGAGGAGGAAATTTTCTACTTTCCACATAGGAAGAAGAAGCATGAAGGGTCAGCCCTCAGAGGCAGGTAAGAGTGCCCCAAGTCCAGAGGAGTCAGCAGAGTTGGAGAGAAAGTGCCTGGAGACAAGATATGCTCTGTGCTGCTGCCCTCTGGCAGCCCTCCCTCCTATCACCACAAGAAACAACCCCTCCCATCACCACAAGAAACAACTGGCAGAGATTACAAATTAGCAACATCCAGCCCTCAGTGTTAAAGATGGAGAGGAGGAATCGAATTGCACCAGATGATCAGAGAAGGCAGTCTCCGGGATCATTCATCCCCGCTTTCCGGGTGAATCATAGGAAAGAATACATTGTATCCATTCACAAAAGTAACAGAGAAGGAAAACACTCATGGAATTTATGCCCCCAAAGAGGAAGATGAGGCAGAGGAAAAAGAACTGGGATATCAAAGAGAGGGATGAAAAACAGACTTTGAAAAGAAGCCTTTCTTCAGAATGTAAGGGGATGTTGGAGAACAATTTCTTTACATGCTTAAAAATTTTTTTTAAATGACATGAAACGTGAAAGAAGACATCAGTAAAAGAGAATCTGATGATAAGTAAAGGAACTGAAAAGTTTGAGCTATATATTTAAAAAAGAAAAAAAAAAAGGCCAGGTGCAGTGGCTCAAGCCTGTAATCCCAGCACTTGGAGATGCTGGGGGTGGGGGTGGGGGAATCACCTGAGGTCAAGAGTTCAAGACCAGCCTGGCCATGGTGAAACCCCGTCTCTACTAAAAATACAAAAATTAGCCAGATGTGGTGGTGGGTGGCTGTAATCCCAGCTACTCGGGAGGTTGAGGCAGGAGAATCTCTTGAACCCAGAAGGCAGAGGTTGCAGTGAGCCAAGATCGTGCCACTGCACTCCAGCCTGGGTGACAGAGCAAGATTCCATCTCAAAAACAAAACAAAAAATTTTAGATAAAACACTTGAGGAGCCTAGGAAAGAAAAGATTCAGGCACATGGGAGTAAGAGGCATCCTGGTCTCCTCACCTTTCCTGTGGAAGTCATACAAACTTTTAGTTTTCGAAGCAGTAATTTTCAGCCTATTATTTAAAGTTATACAAGTAATCACTGGAATAACTCAAAATAAACCACATAGATTCCAAAATTACAAAAAGAGCACCTCTCACAGAGCAATTGTAAGAAAATTAAAAAGCATGTAAAGCAGAAAAAAGAAAGGACTAAGATGAAACATATCTAAAATATAAATGAGATACTCAACTATTATAAGGAAAGGTACTTAGTAGATTTTTTAAACATCAAAAACAAAACCTGCCAGGCGCAGTTTTTGGATTACAGTGGCTCACACCTGTAATCCCAACTCTTTGGGAGGCACGGGTGGGCGAATCACTTGAGGCCAGGAGTTCAAGACCAGCCTGGGCAACATGGTGAAACACTGTCTCTACTAAAAATACAAAAACTAGCCAGGCATGGTGGGGTGTGCCTGTAGTCCCAGCTTCTGGAGAGGCTGAGGTGGGAGGATTGCTTGAGTCTGAGAGGCAGAGGTTACAGTGAGCTGAGATCATGCCACTGCACTCCAGCCTGGACGATAGAGCCAGGCCTTGTCTCAAAAACAAAACAAAACAAAAAACCTATACAGGAGAAATCCCTTAAGCTTAGCTGCCCCATGGCACTCCTCAGGGAACGGTCCAGGATAAGGCCAAGATTAACTTAAATCGGCATTTTTAAGGGTGAGACCCAGGAGTCGATATATGTTTTTAACTCTTAAAGAGACTACAATGTACTGTCGAGACTGAGAATCATTCCTTCAAAACAGAGATGTGAAAACATAAGAAATGAAAGGATAGACAGATACAGCAAGCAAATTCAAGTGAAAAAAGTCAAGGACCGGTATTTATATATCAGATAAATTCAAGGCAAAAAAGCATTAAGTGGGACACACGTTTGCTCCACAATGACAAAAGCACGGTCCAACATGAAGTTGTCGTGGTCATGAACTTGTTGTGTGCCAAGTCACAGAACACTGAAATCAGGTTTAACTGCATGAAACTGACATTTGTAGAGGTCAAAACTGATGAAAGGTTGGCACGTTCAAGCTGATCAGTAAGCAAAATACGTTCATACTCACTCTCTGCTGTAAAGCACTAACAGAGCCTGATGCAAAGCAAACACTACATATATTCTGGCCCCCGTATCACTTGGCTTAACTACTGCAGCAATAAAATGCTTCCAAGTTCAGGCCAGGCGCAGTGGCTCATGTCTGTAATCTCAGCACTTTGGGAGGCTGAGGCAGGCATATCACCTCAGGTTAGGAGTTTGAGATCAGCCTGGCCAAAATGGTGAAACCCATCTCTACTAACAATACAAAAATTAGCCAGGTGTGATAGCATGCACCTGTAATCTCAGCTAATCAGGAGGCTGAGGCAGGAGAATCCTTTAAACCCAGTAGCAGAGGTTGCAGTGAGCCTAGATCACGCCATCGCACTCCAGCCTGGGCAACAAGAGTGAAACTGTCTCAAAAAAACTTCCCAGTTCATACAGAACAAGGCGCTCACAGACCCCACAGGATCAAAGCCGCTAAAGAGGCTGGGTGGGTCTCAACTGTGGCCACATCTCTTGCTCAATTTGTGACAAGTTACTTAACCCCTCTGTCCCTTAGTGCCAACATCCCCTCCCCCCCGCCTCGAACTGGGAATAATACGAGTGCCTGTGCCCTGGGATTGTGAGGTTTGAAGAAATGAATGTATGAAAGCACACAGTAAGTGCTCAGTAAATGTTACGATTATTACCCTCCTTTTCCAAAGCCGTCCCATCTATTCTAACAGGTTGATTCTTCTCCATGAACTTTGCTGTCTGGCAGTGGCAGACAGAGCACCTTGGAGGGAACCAGTAACCCTCTGCAGGTGAGTCACTGGGCTGCTCCCTGCTCAGTTCCCTTCATGCAAGTGACCAGCACTTGAAGGCCAGCACAGCAAGAAGGGACCCTCGGTGCCTTCCCTGTGTTCTCCGGCCTGTCCTGGCCCCTTTGGTCATTCTGTCCCGTATCCTGTCTCCTGACCTGCTCCGTATCACCGGGTTGCCTGGCTCCTGTCTCTTTGTCAAGGTCCAGGCTGCAACCTCCCACCTCTTAGAATCAGCAGCTGCCTTAACTCAGAAAGCTGAACATATTAAAAAGAGAGAGAGAGAGAGAGAGGCCGGGCGTGGGGGCTCACGCCTGTAATCCCAGCACTTTGGGAGGCTGACGTGGGTAGATTATGAAGTCAGAAGTTTGAAACCATCCTGGTTTACATGATGAAACCTCGTCTCTACTAAAAATACAAAAAATTAGCCAGGCGTGGTGGCATGAGCCTGTAGTCTCCGATACTCAAGAGGCGGAGGCAGGAGAATTGCTTGAACCCAGGAGGTGGAGGTTGCAGTGAGCCAAGATCGAACCATTGCACTCCAGCCTGGGCAACAAGAGTGAAACTCTGTTTAAAAAAATAATAATAATCAATGGTTGTTTCACTGAACCTCCCAGAGCTCCACTACAATTCTGCTTCCGGACTCTCTTTTTAGGTTAAAAGGATAAAATAAGCCTGATCCAGCCTCCCACAGCCTGCCTTCCAAGGGCGTCCTCCTGCCTTCGGGAAGCGTGGCCTCACCTGCTCCTCCCAGGAGTTGATGACCACCAGGTGTGCATTCTCCAGCTGGCAGTACTTCTCTGCCTCAGCCCAGGCCTTCCCCGAGTGAGAGAACCAGTAGCAGCTGGCTTGGTGCTCCACCCAGTTGACGGGGCAGCAGGTCCTTTGGGAGCCTGAGGGGTCAGGGGGCAGGGGGATGAGATCCAGCCAGAGGGGCACACACTGGGACTGCACATGCCCCACCCCTACCATTGCTGTGGAGGAGTTCCATCTGGCAGGTCAGGAAGCGCAGGTCCATGGGGAAGTGCTTCAGATGCAGGAGCAGGGAGTCGTGATCTAAGACAGGCAGGTGAAAGTGCTGCCGGCAGGCACGTCCCCTCCTGCCTGGCTCCAGCCTGTGGCTGGGGAAGCACATCCACCCCACAGACTCTACCATGCATAGACCACACCACACCACACACCACAAAGACACATATACCATTCCTAGATCACACCACACACCACACATACCACATACCACACACCACACATACCACATACCACACAGACTCTACCATGCCTAGACCACACCACACCACACCACACACCACACAGACACTTATACCATGCCTAGATCACACCACACCACACGCCACACACACAACACACACCATACCACACAAACACACACCACAGATACATATATCACACAGACCCATCACACACACATTCAGGCCACCCGGACCACATACATACACACACATATACACCACACCACACTACCCCACATGCACACACAGACACATCATACCAACACATACACCCACCACACACATATGCATACACCCCCACATAGAGACACACCTCACACACATACACACATTCACACACCACACACATCAAACCACACACACTATACCACACACACAATCATACACACTACAGGTACACCACACACACATACACCCACACACAGACCCATCACACACACATACACCACACACACACACACATACACACAGACCACCCCACACACAGATCCACCACACACATCACATGCAAACACACACATACATCATACCACACACACGGACCCATCACACTACACCACACATGCACACACAACACACACATATACACACTACACACTACACATGCATCCATGACACAGCACCCCACACGTACGGAGACACACACACGACACACACACCGCACACGTACACATGCACACATACCCCGGGAGGCTCTCTGACCTGCTTTCAGGTCCTGCTTCTGTTTCTCCAGCTTGGCTCCCAGAGATGTTATCTTGTCACCCACGCTGCCTCCTGAAAGTGGAAAGCCAACTGTTTCCCTGCTCAGCCTCCCTCCGTTCTCATGCTCCTGGGGCACCAGGGGGCCAGCACCTCATCCTGGGCATTGCAGGTGTCCACCTCCTGGCCTCCACGACCCCGCCCAAGCTCCCTGCACTGCCACAGTGGCTCAGGCCACTCTCCTGCCAAAATCCCTTCAATGGGTTCCCATTTTCTCAAAGCCTTGCTCTATCATCATGGCTCGCCTGTGTGGCCAGGCCCCTCCCGACCTCTCTGGACACCCCTTATCTGCCTGTCCCTCCAGTGGGCTCCCTCCCACCACACTCCATCTGCTCACAGCCCCAAGACATGGTGCCTTCCTGGCCTCCAGATGTCGCAGATCCAGTCTCTCCACCTGGCACTAACATCCTCCGTCCCCACCGGCCTCCCTCTTCTACATCCTCCAGGGCCCCTGGACACCCTGCCCAGCCTGCACCCCACAGCACCCAACACAGCCCTGACACAGACTCCCAGGGTTTGCTGACGCAGTGAGCCCAGCAAACCTGTGTGGATAAACGAGAGCCCAGCCATCCAGCCCCTCACCGTGGGTGCCGAGAGCATAGATCTCCATCAGGGTGCTTGAGGAAAAGTTGCGGAAAGCTTCCTCCAGGGTCTGCAGCTCTGCTTGCAGCCGTGCACCTTGTCAGGTGGCAGCGGGGTCAGGATGAGGGAGAGGGGCTGTGACCCCATCACTGTCCATGTGACCAGCCCCTCACAGCCCCCACATTTGCCCCACCTCCATCCCTTCCCCTCCCATCACCCCCATCACTGCCCACCACTGCCTGTGTCTCTTCCCCAACTCCTTGTCCATCCCTGCTGGCCCCTGTGACCCTCACTTTGGGACCCAACCACACAGATCACCACCAGCAACAGGATGTTGAAGCCCAGGGCAAGCAGACTGAAGCGGACTGTGGAGCAGAGACGCTGTGGCAGGAGCTGGGCAGGAGGTGGCCCTGTGGGAGAGGGGCATCAGGAGCCGGCAGCCAGGGCGCCGGGAGTCAGAGGATAAAGGCAGGGCCCCGAAGCCTGAGGAGGCATAACCTGGGTGGGGAGATTGGTTAGGGCCATGGGGGAGTCATCACAGGCCTTGACCCCAGCATTTGAGTATTGCGCACGCACACACACACTCTTACACCCTCGCACCTGTATTGCCATGTTCAAACATACACACGAAGCTACCCGGGTGCACGCACCCATGCTCATGACACAGGATATACACATCAGCTGTGTGCAAAGCCCCGATCCTGGAGCTGGGGGACTGGGAGACATAGAGGGGGCTGGGACAGACCCATCCCTGCGTAGGCACATATCCAGAGAAGGGGATCTGTGAATGCTCTTCCTCCCACCCAGCCAGTGGCAGAGGCCTCCAGATCACCTCGGGCCTTAGTCTCAGCTCTTCTAAGGCCCCTGTCCCCTCAGATTGGAGACTCCAGAAGCTGGGTCCTGTGTTCTTACTAAAATCCATACTGGAACAATCCCTCCCCTCCCCAAATTCCATTGAGATCCTTAAGTCTGGTCATTCCACCATAGTCCACTCTCCAAGGACAGCCCTCCAGGTCCCACCTGTTGTCCTCATCCCCACCACTCAAGGCCTCCTCCCCAGTGGCCTCTGCCCTCACTCCCCCAGAGACCTCATTCCACTCTGAATTTGCTCCCCTCAGCCAGAGGCCATCTCACAGGTACCACGCCCACCCCTTGATCCATCCACACCCTGACAGCACTCATTCACACACTCACATACCCTCACAAACTCACACACACACACTCACCTGCCCTCACAAACACACACACTCACATACGCTCACAAACTCATAGACACATTCACATACCCTTACAAGCTCACACACATTCACAAACCCACACACACCCTCACACACACTCACATACCCTCACAAACTGACACACACACACACTCAAACACACATTCACATACCCTCACACACACACCCTCACAAACACACACACACACACACATTCACATACCCTCACACACACCCTCACACACACTTATACATATACCTTCACAAACTCACACACTCATACCCTCACAAACACACACATGCCCTCACAAACTCACACACATTCTTGCTTCACTCAAAAACACACATTTGCACATACTCATGAACACAGGTTCTGTTGTACACACTCACATGTGCACACATATGCTAATACACACATTCATACGCCCTCCCACACACATGCACACACCTTCTGACACACCCACACACGTACACTCGCGCACTCACATCCTCCTGCACACAGAGCTGGGCTCCCCCTCTGCTGCCTCCAGTTCAACGCCAGTGCCCCCAGACCCGAGCTCCTGTCTTTGCAGCATCCACCTGCAAACAGAACGCCTGCTCTTCCTGGCCTCGGACACTGACTGTGGACTACCCTGTCTTCTCATTTCTATCACCCCACCCAGCACCACCACATACTGGGAGACTGAGTCAGGGGCCCAGAATCTTCCTCCCCAGGTCACCGTCCTGAGCAGACACTGCCCCTGTAAGTGATTCCCACAACCCTTCACCTTTCCAGCTCACATGATGACATTCCCCCAGTCCCCACCACCCAGGCTGCTGGAGAGAAACGCAGGGACTTGGCTATATCCCTTCAGATGGGCTCCTCACTGGTGTCCCTCAGTCCATCAGAGTGAGCTCACTCTCCCATTAATTTCAGAAATCCTGGCCTCTCTCCAAGACTCCTACTCGAACTCTAAATTCTTTCACCCTCAGAAGATTCAGCAGCATCCAATATCCTTTCTGAGTGTTCACTATGTACTGGGCGCTGTGTGGACACTGGAGTTGCAGAGGAGAATGAGGCCGATAGGGCCTCTGCCTGTGGGGTCCCCGCCTGGTGGGAAGTCCTGCCAGCCCACTATAGGGAGAGGAGATGCTGCTGGTGTTCCCGAGTGGTCCTCGGGAGGGACCACCTATCCCTCCTGTCCCCTGCCCTGCCCTGCCCTGCCCTGCCTGGCCCAGCACCAGCCCTCCCTCAGTTGGTTGGCCAGCTTTAGGAATGAGGAGTCCCTCCTCCCAGCCCAGCTAACTGGTCCCCTTCGTAAGCTCCAAGCCCCTGCCCCTCCTGCCTCCATGGAACCTGACTCCACCACCCGTACCCACACACCTGACACTCCTCCATCCCTGGTTCTTGCCTTCTGCCTAGAACTGCTCAGATCTCTTTCTCACCTTAAAATCTTTTCCCACCAGCCTGGGCAACACAGCAAGACCCCATCCCTACAAAAAATTTGAATTAGCTGGGCACAGTGGTGCACACCTGTAATCCTAGCTACTTGGGAGGCTGAGGTGGGAGGATGGCTTGAACCCAGGAGTTTGAGGCTGCAGTGAGCTATGATCCTGCCACAATACTCACATCTAAAAAAATCATTTCCAAGACACCTGGGTCTTTCAGTCGAGATTTACTAGAGAAGGATCCAGAGAAGGGGTCTTGGGAGACAGCGGGGAGCAGGAAGCTTCCAGGATCTCTCTGTGCCTATTTCCCCCACCCACCCCAACTCACCCCACCTCTATACGCACACATACACACACACAATCACACATAACATACATACACTCACACACAACATACACAATATACACTCACACAACACACACATAACATATGCACACACACACACACACACAAGATACACACAGAGTCCTAGCTGAATCTGCACTCCTCATATGCACATACGTGCACATGCACACACGGGGCACATGTGTTCTTGGGTTGGGAGAAGGACAGCAGGTTATCTTCCAGATCTCCCCACACCTCTGGGCACACACTTTTCCTGGGGTCCTGGTGTAGAAAGGAAGGCGAGGTCAGGAGGCAAGCAGGGGTGTTGGGCCTCCTCAGTCCCTGTTCACAGAGTGGATGCGGCAGAGACCTCAAAGGGCCAGAGCCGTCATGAGCTGAGACAGTGGAGCAACGCCGCAGAAACTGCACACTTGCCTTTCCAAAATGGATTTTCTCTCCTGGGATTCAGCTCTCGAGTGCCTGGCCCCTCACCTCGCTGGAGGGGATAGTCATTCTCCTCCGAGCTCAGCTGCTGGATGTCTTGGAAGTCCTTGGCCATGATGGGCCCGGTCTGGAGCTGGACTGGGCTGGGGTTGCTCTGGGGGCTGGGGCAGAGGTGCAGATTCACGTGGAGGCTGATGCTGGGATGGAGGGCAGGGTCTGAGGGGTTCGGATGGTGGCCTGGGTTGGATCTGAGGTTGGCAGGGGGTTTGGGCTGAGGTTTGAAATTCCGCTGGTTTCTGTCCCTTCTCAGGAGACCACTTGGGCTTTGACCTGGCCAGGAGACCCCTCCACACACTCATGGACCAGACCACCCAGCAGTTTCCCGCAGGGTCCTCACCGTCCCTGAACCAAGGTCTCCTTGTTCCCAAACACCCCCGTCCCAGCTGCCTCCCCAGCCTCAGTTACCTGCTAAAGGTGTGGAGAGCAGACACCTGGTTCCCACAGACAGCCCCGGCCTTGGGCAAGGAGGGGTTAAAGCCAGGAGAACTGGGGCACATGGCACTCAAGGAGGAGAAGGAGAGTGGAGGAGGGGCTGGTCCCGGTAAGGCCTGCACCCGAATGTCTGGGTGTCCCAGCTCTAACCTGGGACCTCCTGGCCTGGGACTTTGGACTGTAAACACAAGAGGAAACAGAGCTGTAACTCACCTGGAGAGTGGGGGCAGGGGACAGGGCCATCTCTGTTGTCATCCCGAGAGAAGGGGGTCCCTTGGGCTGCCCTCCTCACCTCCACACACCAGTCACCTCACTCATTGCACCATTTGGAAGGGGTGACAGGCCAGGAGGAACTGGGGTACAGTTTTCTATTTCCCCTCTCTCCCTCCCCCTTCCACTTCCTGCCTCTGAATTTCCCGGAATTGTGGGTGTCTCCAAATATCCCTTACCAGGATCACAGGGACCAGTTCTCTGCTCTTGCCCAGTCCCGCATCTGAGCCGCAGACCCCAGCTTCCTGTGGGCTCGGCCACCAGACTCTCAGCTCCGGCCCAACTCACTTCACTCTCCTGGGGAGTAAAGTCCCTCAAATCCAGAAGCTGCAGCAGGAGGAGGAAAGAAGGGCTTTGCAGAAAAACAGTTCTCCCTGCAGCAGGAGGAATCCAACTTCAGAGAGCCCCGTCGGCCCAGACCCTGCCCCGGCCCAGGCAATGCAAACACTGTCCTCAGGCCCAGCCACTGCCCTAAATTCTCCAAGGTGTTTTCTCATGTATCACATGCCCCGATGAGGCAGGGACTTTTATTATTCCCATTTCATGAGGGAGGAAGTGAAGCCTCGGAGAGATGAGGCAACTTGCTCTAGGTGGAGGCCCAGGTGGGTAGAGAAATTGGAAAAGCAAAATGGAGTCAAGAGGGGAAAACAGGCCGGGCACACTGGCTCACAACTGTAATCCCAGCACTTTATAGGGCCGAGGTGGGCAGATCACCTGGAGTCAGGAGTTCAAGACCAACCTGGCCAACATGGTGAAAACCCGTCTCTACCAAAAATACAAAAATTAGCTGGGCATGGTGGCAGGTACCTATAGTCCCAGCTATCGGGAGGTGGAGACAGGAGAATCACTTGAATCTGGGAGGTGGAGGTTGCAATAAGCCAAGATCATGCCATTGCACTCCAGCCTAGGTGACAAGAGCACAAACTCCATCTCAAAAAAAAAAAAAAGAGAGAGAGAAGAGAGAGAAATAGGGGTATGTATCTATCATAGTTTATTTCCCCTAATAATGAATCTGGGTTGTTGCCAACAACTACCGAAATTAACACTATGACTAATGTCCTCGTCGTGTTCCCATGTCCACCTAGGTGAGAATGTCTCTGGACACTGTATCCAGGTCAGGTGTGGTGGCTCATGTCTGTGATTCCAACACCTTGGGAAGTTGGAGTTGGGAGGATAACTTGAGGCCAGGAGTTCAAGGCCACAGGGAACTGTGATCACACAACAGCATTCCAGCCTGGGCAACAGCAGGACCCAAAAAAGAAAAGAAAAGCAAGAGAAAGAGAAAGGAAGGGAAGGGAGAGAGGAAAGAAAAGAAAAGAAAAGAAAGAAAGAAAGGAAAGCGGGAGAGAAAGAAAAAGAAAAGAATGGAAGGGAGGGAGGGAGGGAGGGAGGGACCTCAGAATGGTATTGCTCGGTCACAGAGTATTATCATACCTAATTCCACTTCGGGCTGCCAGACTGCTTTCCAGAATGACTCTGCCAGTCTACATTCCCACCAGCAGTATATGAGGGTTCTCTTTTCGGCTTTGTCACTTGATGTTATTAACAACCCAGTTGTTGCCAAGATGATGCCATATCCTTGTTCTTTAATTTTGCATTTCTGGCTAACAGTGGGTTTGAACATTTCTTCATCGATTTATTCATCATTTGGGTTTCCCCTTGCATGAATTACCTTTTCATATCCTTCACCCATTTTTCTATGGGCTTTCCTGAATCCACTTTGTTGATAAGCCAGAATTTCCTGTATGTTCTACTTGTTCAGAAAACGAGACCTTTTGAAAATTAAAAATATATATATTGTTAACTCCAAAAAATGAATAGATGCTATGAAATAAAAAATTTAGAACATCTTCCAGGAAAAAAAAAGACATAGATTTTTTTTAAAGGATAAAACAGTTAAATTGGAAGAAATTATTTTTTCTCTGGTCTCAGGCTATCAAATATATTTCCCACCTGGGAAACTCTACACAATCTCCAGACTCCCCCCAACCTTTTTTTTTTGGAGACCGAGTTTCCCTCTTGCTGCCCAGGCTGGAGTGCAATGATGCAATCTCGGCTAACTGCAACCTCTGCCTCCTGAGTTCAAGCAATTCCCCTGCCTCAGCCTCCCGAGTTACAGGCACACTCCACCACACCCAGCTAATTTCTGTATTTTTAGTAGAGATGGGGGTTTCCCCATGTTGGCCAGGCTGGTCTCAAACTCGCGACCTCAGGTGATTCGCCTGCCTCGGCCTCCCAAAATTCTGGGATTACAGGCATCAGCCACCACGCCCAACACAGACTCCCCTTCTTAACCCACTCCAGGGGAGGAGACTGACTGATTGGCATGCTTGGCTCCGCCCCTTGGGGGGCTCCCTTTGGTATCTTTCTGCCCACAAGGAGCACACCTTGTATTCTACTCTCTGCCTGCAACGTAGAGCTGCTCCTGCTTTGCCCAACTCTGCCTGTGACTGGGTGGAAGCATCTGCCTAACTTATCTAATATTTCAATCTAATATTTTAAGTCAAATCCTCCTTGTTGCTTATCAGCAATTATGCCAACATCTTGATATCCACTCATCTCTCTACTGTGTCTTGATTCTCAATGGATTTCAAACTTGAGGAAAAACAAGGGTTCTTTTTCTATTGGCCCCATAAAACCTCCAAAATGACATAAACAATAAGTTCAAAGAATGAATATCCAACTAATAGGAGTTCTAGAAGATAAATAAGAGGAAGAAAAGGGAGAAAAATTATCAAAGAAATAATACAAGGAGGTTACTTAGAATTAAAACGGATAGGTCTTGGCCAGGCACGGTGGCTTACACCTGTAATGCCAGCACTTTGGGAGGCCGAGCCAGGGGGGATCACGAGGTCAGGAGATCAAGACCAGCCTGACCAACATGGTGAAACCCTGTCTCTACAAAAAATACAAACTTTGGCTGGGCATGGTGGCAGGTGCCTGTAATCCCAGCTACTCAGGAGGCTGAGGCAGGAGAATTGCTTGAACCTGGGAGTTGGAGGTTGCAGTGAGCCAAGATCATGCCACTACATTCCAGCCTGGCAACAGAGTAAGACTCCACTTCAAAAACAAAAAAGGACAGGTCTCCAGATTTAGGTATTCTAGTAATAGCCCAGCTGAGCTCATTCATTCAAAAATGACCCAAAGTATGCCACCATGAAATTTCAGAATGCCACAGATAAAGAGAAAATTCTAAAAACCACCAGGGGTGGGGGTAAATTGCCTACAAAGAAACAAGAATCAGAATGGATTTCACTTTTCAGCTGTTACACTGAACACAAAAAGACAACAGGATGATGTCTTTAAACTTCCAAGGAAAATGTTTTTCAACCTAGAATTGTAGAGTCAAACAATCAATGGCATGAGAGGGTAGACTATAGAACTGTCAGCTACTCCAGTTCTCAGAGGATTTATTTCCTACTGCTGTGTCAGGAATTACCACAGAAAGTGAGTAGATAATCCAAAACAATACATGTAGAAGAACATCTCAACATAAGCCCTTTTCATTATTAGAAAGAAAATTTTACTCAGCTCTTTCTGTACTTTTTGCCTACAGGCTAACTTTTTTTCTTAAAATGAAATTCCAGAGCCTGGCCAAGATGGTGAAACTCCCACTCTACTACAAATATAAAAAAAATCAGCCATGCATGGTGGAGTGCACCTGTAATCCCAGCTACTCAGGAAGCTGAAGCAGGAGAATTGCTTGAACCTGGGAGGTGGAGGTTGCAGTGAGCTGAGATCATGCCACTGCACTCCAGCCTGGGCAACAGAACAAGACTCCACCTCAAAAAAGAAAAAAAAAAAAACAGCCAAGATGGAGTCACTTTTGCCTCCACACCAACTGTCCATGGAAACAAGCAGGTTTTGTTTTCCAGAAGAAATGAATGTTCTTTATAACACCAGATGAGATTTTAAAACAAAAACAAAAAGCAGGCTGGAAGGAAGAGAAGGAGGCATTTGAGAAGCGTTTGTACAGGTGAGAGGTGCCTTGTCCCCCCCCTCCCACCTCACGGGGAAGGAGATGCTCACAAGACTCCCATGAAGTGAGGGCTTTCAGGAGGACCCTCTCAGAAGTTTAGCTATGATTTCAGAAGTAGGTAAAGGGGGCCAGGCGCAGTGGTTCACGCCTGTAATCCCAGGACTTTGGGAGGCTGAGGCAGGTGGATCATTTAAAGTCAGGAGTTCAAGATCAGCCTGGGCAACACGGTGAAACTCCTTCTCTACTAAAAAGACAAAAATAAGCTGAGCATGGTAGCACACACCTGCAGTCCCAGCTACTCGGGAGGCTGAGGCAGGAGAATTGCTTGAACCAGGGAGGCGGAGGTTGTAGTGAGCTGAGATTACGCCACTGCACTACAGCATGAGTGACAGTCAGACTCCGTCTAAAAAAAGAAGAAGAAAAGAAATAGGTAAAGGGAATGTTGTGTCCTAACTGGAGTTTTCTGAGTGCCAGAGACCTAAGAATGACCTTGCTCAAACAAAGCCTGAAAGAGCCACCCGTAGCTAAGGTGAAGGGTGTTCCTGCTCAGCGACCCACAGGTCGTGGAAGACGGGAAGAGATTTTTCAAGAGTTCCCGTAACCTCGCAGTGTAAAGCAAAGCAGGAGTGCTACTGATTCTCCTGCTGACTCCCTCTGCTGTATGAGGATGAACCTTTAGGGGTGAGAGTGAGAGTGCTACTGATTCCCTTTCCAAGAGAAAGTCCTGGGCTGCCCCAGAAGGCGAAAGGTCGAGTGAAAGGAACCCACCCAGAAGGTGGACATGGTGAAGACCACAACAGGGACTGAAAAGAATGCATTCCCCCCATAAGGTCATCCACATAAGCCAATCATAAATTCCTGCTAGAGCTGGATCCTGCTCACACTGAATAAATGGTAAAGAATTTTGTGGCCGGGCGCAGTGGCTCACGCCTGTAATCCCAGCACTTTGGGAGGCCGAGGCGGGCGGATCACCTGAGATTGGGAGCTCAAGGGCAGCCTACCAACTTGGAGAAACTGCATCTCTACTAAAAATACAAAATTAGCTGGGTGTGTTGATGCACGCCTGTAATCCCAGCTACTCGGGAGGCTGAGGCAGGAAATCACTTGAACCCAGGAGGTGGTTACAGTGAGCCAAGATCGCGCCATTGCACTCCAACCTGGGCAACAAGAGGGAAACTCCATCTCAAAAAAAAAAAAAAAAAGAATTCTGTGTTCACCCCAGCACGAAAGTGAAGGAACGTAGTTGCAATGATAGTACTGGTTCAGTATTCCATCTATTCCAGTCAACCAAAAAAGAATATGGAATATGGGAAAATATAGAACCCAAGAAATATGGGCTGTGAGTTCAATCCCATCTGGAGAGCATGGATTTAGCAACTAGAAAGGATAGAGAACTTCTCCCTGTGGCTCCAGGAAAATTATTCTCGTGATGATCAGCCCAGACCCCACAACCAGTGTCAGAACTCTGTCCAGCAAGTAGCCCCAGGCAACGGCTGGTATTCCAGAGGACACGGATGTGAATGATTTTCCTTCAGTAAAGTGTATTCCAAACCTAGGAAGGTGTGAAACTAAATACATAGGCGGTGAAGTAAATCTAACATGGAGTATTAATACATCTGTGCTAAATTTAAGAGCAATCTATATTTGGTATTATAATGTGTAAGAAAATTCAGCATACTAAAAGATTTGGAATTAGCCTGAGATAACAAATCAAAATATAAAATGAAGTACTTGATTTTAGACTTGTGGTTTCTTTTTCAGTTGAAAGGTACGAAATAATTTGATGAGGTTTGTGAACAATACTGGAATGTTGACGAGACCTTGAGATTCCTTATGAGTATTAATTTGCCTTATTTACTTAGTTTTTGATTGTTAAAATCAAATCCCTAAAATACACCTAATGTGTAAACTCAATTTAAAACGTTTCTAGGCATTTAACTGCATGGTGAATGAAACTGATTATTTAAGAGAGTTTTGTGTCTTTGACTTTCATTATTATGCATTAATCAGTGAGAAAGTCAAGTTGGTGGCTCTTATTTAGCACAATTTATTAAAAGAATAATTATTGCAGAGCCCAGTGGCTCACACCTGTAATCCCAGCACTCTGGGAGGCCGAGGCAGGGGGGTCACCTGACGTCAGGAGTTGGAGACCAGCCTGGCCAAAATGGTGAAACCCCATCTCCAATAAAAATACAAAAAATTAGCCAGGTGTGGTGGTGGGCACTTGTAATCTCAGCTACTCCAGAGGCTGAGGCAGGAGAATCATTTGAACCCAGGAGGCAGAGGTTGCAGTGAGCCAAGGTTTTGCCATTGCACTCCAGCCTGGGTGACAAGAGCGAAACTCTGTCTTGGCCTCCCAAAGTGCTGGGATTATAGGCATGAGCCACCGCGCCTGGTGAATAATTACGTTTATAAGCTGAACTTACAAGAAGCTTAAGGAAAACTAGGTTTAAAATGTACTTTAACTGACTATTAATTATTTTAAGGAAACAAAATGGTAACAGTCCATTCGGTACACAAATACCAGCATGAACATGAAAAACTCTCCTTAACTTTCGGATCCACATGCCAAAGGGCAGTGTCCAAGGGGCCACCTGAGAGAGCGCCCACCCAAGCCAAGACTACCTGCAGCAGAGCCACCCTGGACTCCCCTTCTGCCAGGCAAGTGGACACGGCAGAAACAGACAGGCCCCCAGCACCAGTCTGAGAGGCCCTGAGGCCAAGAAGGTGGGCTTCCTGCCCTGTCCAC